TCTGAGGCCATCCACATTACAAATGGGCCAGTGCTGCTGGCCAATACCATTCACATTTCACCAGGGCCTGTGCTTCTGTCTGATGCCATCCACATTACACCAGGGCCAGTGCTGCCTGTGAGGCCATCTTCACCACACCACGGCCTGCGTTGCTGTCTGAGGCCATCCACATTGCACCATTGCTACTGCTCCCTGTGAGGCCATCTTCACCACACCAGGGCTTTTGCTGCTGGCTAATGCCATCTTCAAGAGACCAGGGTCTGTGCTGCTGGCTGATGCCATCCGCATTACACCAGGGCCAGTGATTCCTGTGAGGCTATCTTCACCACACCAGGGCCTGTGCTGCTGTCTGATACAATCCACAATACACAAGTACCTGTGCTACTGGCTGAGGACATTCACATTATATCAGGGAAAGTGCTTCCTGTGAGGCCATCTTAACCACACCAGGGCCTGTGCTACTCGTTGATACCATCCACATTTCACCAGGGCTTGTGTTGCTGGCTGATGCGATCCACAATACACAAGGGCCTGTGCTGTTGGCTGAGGCCATCCACATTACACCAGGGCCAGTGCTGCTGGCCGAAACCATCCACATTTCACCAGGGCCACTGTTGTTGGCTGAGGCCATACACATTACACCAGGGAAAGTGCTTCCTGTGAGGCCATCTTAACCACACCAGGGTCTGTGCTGCTGGCTGATGCAATCCACATACACAAGGGCTTGTGCTACTCGTTGATACCACCCACATTTTACTAGGGCATTTGCTGCTGGCTAATGCCATCTTCACCACACCAGGGCCTGTGCTTTTGGCAAAGGCCATCAACATTACACCAGGGCCAGTGCTGCTGGCCGATACCATCCACATTTCACCAGGGCCAGTGCTGCTGGCCGATACCATCCACATTTCACCATGGCCCGTGCTTCTGTCTGAGGCCATTCACATTACACCAGGGTGTGTGGTGCTGACCAATACCATCCATATTTCACCAGGGACAGTGTTGTTAGATGAGGCCATCCACATTACAACAGGGCCTGTGCTACTGGCTGAGGACATTTACATTTCACCAGGGCCTGTGGTCATGGTGAGCCATCCACATTACACCAGGGCCAGTGCTGCTGGCCGATACCATCCACATTTCACCATGGCCCGTGCTTCTGTCTGAGGCCATTCACATTACACCAGGGTGTGTGGTGCTGACCAATACCATCCATATTTCACCAGGGACAGTGTTGTTAGATGAGGCCATCCACATTACAACAGGGCCTGTGCTACTGGCTGAGGACATTTACATTTCACCGGGCCTGTGGTCACGGCTGATGCCATCCACATTACACCAGGGCCAGTGCTCCCTGTGAGGCCATCTTCACCACACCAGGGCCTGCGTTGGTGGCTGAGGCCATCCTCATTTCATCAGGTCCTGTGCTACTGGCTAAGGCCATTCACATTACACCAGGGTGTGTGGTGCTGACAAATACCATCCATATTTCACCAGGGCCACTGTTGTTGGATGAGGCCATACACTTTACACCAGGGACAGTGCTTCCTGTGAGGCCATCTTCACCACACCAGGGCCTGTGCGTTTGGCTGAGGCCATCCACATTACATCACGGCCTGTGATGCCGGCTTCTACCATCCACATTAAACCAGGGACAGTGCTTTTTGTGAGACCATCTTCACCACACCAGGGCCTCTGCTGCTTCTTAATGCCATCCACATTACACCTGGGCCTGTGGTGCTGACCGATATCATGCACATTTCACCAGAACCAGTGGTGTTGGCTAAGGCCATTCACATTATACCAGGGCCTGTGCTACATGCTGAGGACATTTAGATTTCACCAGGGCCTGTGGTCATGGCTGAGGCCAACTACATTTCACCAGGGCCTGTGTTGGTGGCTGATCCCATCCACAATATACAAAGGCCTGTGCTACTGGCTGATGCCATCCACATTACACCAGGGCCAGTGCTCCCTGTGATGCCATCTTCACCACACAAGGGCCTGCGTTGCTGGCTGAGGCCATCCTCATTTCACCAGGGCCTGCATTGCTGGCTGATGCAATCCACAATACACAAGGGCCTGTGATGCCGGCCTCTACCATCCACATTACACCAGGGACAGTGCTTCCTGTAAGGCCAACTTCACCCCACCAGGGCCTCTGCTGCTTGTTGATGCCATCCACATTACACCAGGGCCTGTGGTGCTGACCGATATCAGGCACATTTCACCAGGGCCAGTGGTGTTAGATGAGGCCATCCACATTACAACAGGGCCTGTGTTACTGGCCGAGGCCAACTACATTTCACCAGGGCCTGTGCTACTTGTTGATGCCATCCACATTACACCAAGGCATGTGGTGCTGTCCGAAACCATCCACAATACACAAGGGCCTGTGATACTCGCTGATGTCATCCACATTACACCAGGGACAGTGCTTCCTTTGAGGCTATCATCACCACACCAGGGCCTGTGCTGCTGGATGAAGCCATCCACATTACAACAGGGCTTGTATTATTACCTAATGAGATCCACATTACACAAGGGCCTGTGCTACTGGCTGAGGACATTCACATTACACCAGGGTGTGTGGTGCTGGTCAATACCATCCACATTTCACCAGGGCCACTGTTGTTGGCTGAGGCCATACACTTTACACCAGGGACAGTGCTTCCTGTGAGGCCATCGTCACCACACCAGGGCCTGTACTGTTGGATGAGGCCATGCACATTTCACCAGGGCCTGTCCTCCCTGTGAGGCCATATTCACCACATCAGGGCCTGTGCTACTGGCTGAGGCCAACTACATTTCACCAGGGCCTGTGCTACTCGTTGATGCCATCTAAATTACACCCGGGCCTGTGGTGCTGTCTGAAACCATCCACATTTCACCAGGGCTTGTGTTGCTGGCTGAATGACATCTGTCGCGGTTCGGATTTTGAGGAAGAGACATACGACTGGAAGTCCATAGTGGGTCAACACAAAATATTTTATTATAACACACAGTACAGTGTGGGAAGAGCCGGACTTCTTCGAGTAGACCGCTCCCTATCCTTATATTGCCCTGATGACGTCACAGTTAGATCTTACTGGAAATGATAACAGTTCCCCACACTCAAAAAGTTCTCCTTATATAGACATCAGATGCTACTTTAGAGACAAACAAGTGTGTGATATGTTGTGCAGTTTTGTGAGACTGTGTGTCCAACAGAGAGAATGTCCTGAGACGACCTCCCTGTTCTTAATAAGTGTGTGTGTGAACGTGCGTGTTTTCCATGACTCTCTATGTGCATGTTGGTGTAGGCCTGAATATGTGTGTAAGTGAATGTAGAAGGCCCTGCTGGACCCACAGCTTCGAGAGGTGTGAATACAATGATGTGGATACCATTTGCAACAGCTTAAGCAGATAGAAAGAATGATACAGAACAACAATAGACTGATTAAAGCGATGATAAACTGATACAGACTAATGAAGTAATGATGAAATAATGACAGTGCATGTAAATGATAACAAAGTGACCGCAAAACAACATGTCCTTCCCGACACATCCACAAAACAAAAGGGCTTGTGATACTGGCTGATGCCATCCACATTACACCAGGGCCTGTGCTACTCGTTGAGGACATTAACATTACACCAAGACCTGTGGTGCTGGACAATACCATCCACATTTCACCAGGGCCATTGTTGTTGGCTGAGGCCATACACATTACACCAGGGATAGTGCTTCCTGTGAGGCCATCTTAACCACACCAGGGCCTGTGCATTTGGCTGAGGCCATCCACATTACATCACGGCCTGTGATGCCGGCTTCTACCATCCACATTACACCAGGGACAGTGATTGCTGTGTGGCCATCTTCACCCCACCAGGGCCTTGCTACTCGTTGATACCATCCACATTTCACCAGGGCTTGTGTTGCTGGCTGATGCGATCCACAATACACAAGGGCCTGTGCTACTGGCTGAGGACATTCACATTACACCAGGGCCTTTGGTGTGGCCAATACCATCCACATTTCACCAGGGCCAGTGGTGTTGGCTGAGGACATTCACATTACACCAGGGCCTGTGGTGCTGGCTAATACCATCCACATTTCACCAGGGCCAGTGTTGTTGGATGAGGCCATCCAAATTACACCAGGGACAGTGCTTCCTGTGAGGCCATCATCACCACACCAGGGCCTGTGGTGCTGGCCGATACCATCCACATTACACAAGGGCCAGTGCTGCTAGCCTTCCACATTACCCAAGGGCCTGTGTTGCTGGCCAATACCATCCACATTTCACCTGGGCCACTTTTGGTAGATGCGGCCATCCACATTACAACAGGGCCTGTGCTACTGGCTGAGGCCATCCACATTACATCACGGCCTGTGATGCCGGCTTCTACCCTCCACATTACACCAGCGACAGTGATTGCTGTGTGGCCATCTTCACCCCACCAGTACGGTGTACATTTTAGGACATCGTCAGGTATCAGACAAAAAATTGTCAGGTGTCAGTTGTCAAAAAAAAAATTGTCAGGTATCAGAAAAAAAATTGTCAGGTGTCAGTTGTCAAAAAAAATTGTCAGGTGTCAGAAAAAAATTGTCAGGTGTCAGAAAAAAAATTGTCAGGTGTCAGTTTAAAAAAAAAATTGTCAGGTTCAGAAAAAAAGTTGTCAGGTATCAGAAAAAAAATGTCAGGTGTCAGAAAAAAAAGTCAGGTATCAGAAAAAAAATTGTCAGGTGTCAGAAAAAAAAAGTTCAGGTATCAGAAAAAAAATTGTCAGGTGTCAGAAAAAAAGTTGTCAGGTGTCAGAAAAAAAATTGTCAGGTGTCAGAAAAAAAGTTGTCAGGTGTCAGAAAAAAAATTGTCAGGTGTCAGAAAAAAAGTTGTCAGGTGTCAGAAAAAAATTGTCAGGTGTCAGAAAAAAAGTTGTCAGGTGTCAGAAAAAAAATTGTCAGGTGTCAGAAAAAAAGTTGTCAGGTGTCAGAAAAAAATTGTCAGGTGTCAGAAAAAAAATTGTCAGGTGTCAGAAAAAAAATTGTCAGGTGTCAGAAAAAAAGTTGTCAGGTGTCAGTTGTCAAAAAAAAATTTGTCAGGTATCAGAACACAAGGTACCAGAGAGAAAATCTTCCTGCAGGTGGCGCTGTTGTCATGTCCCACCCGAATTGATTTCCAAATACGTCATCAACGTGTGACCGTGGGAGAGCGTAAGGTCATTGACCTCACCGGAGTTTTACCGTGGTTCAGGCTCCTAACGACACAAGGTAAGTTTAACTTTTTCTCCCTTTTGTTCATATTTTTGCCACAGTTGTGTTATATTAAGTTGCAGTTATGTTGTGAAAGTTACATATCAGAGACGGAAAGCCAGTTTTGTACGAAACCAAATCAGTACTATTTTTGTCTGGCTAATTCATTCTAGCTAGCGACAGTGGTGAAACGTGATTCAAATTTAAACTGTTCAGTAATTGTTTTGTATACATTTCAGCAAATGGACAAGCTGAAAGCTTACGAGCAGCTTAAAAAAGACCTTGAAAATGGTAATCCAACACTTTACTAAATTTTTTGGTAATGCTTGCAAGTTAATTTTTTTAACTGCAAAGAACCCTGACAATATCATGCTTTAATTATTTAACATTGTATGGTATTCTTATTTACTTCTCTTTATTAATATGCATGTTAACAGACGTATATAGTTATTACTTTATGATATTGTTGGAGTGCCCGATTTAAAAAAATAAATAAATAAAAATGACAAAAGATAAATTTCTCACAAAATTAAAAGATTGCAATTTAAAAGTTAGTCATGTAGGATCTGTCTCCTACAGTCAATCTATAACTACTTACCCTTTTAAAATTTTATTTGAAGGTGAGATTACCCAAAAAGGCTTTGATAACAACATAAAAAAGCTCCTGACAGCAGAAAAATCAGGTAGGTTTTGATACTTTTGAACAACATGCAAAACAATCTCCTTTATTTAACATGATATGCTTAGCAGGTTATGATTGAATAACCACTTTATTAATAGATGCAATACATTTTGAAAGCAGATGACTGTGCAGTAGTATGTGATTGTAGTAGAATTCTATAAACCACATGTTTCACATCAATGCCCTATTTATATTGCAGATGACACTACTTCAACATGTGGCAATGAATTTCTCAGTAAGAAAACCACAATTATTTTGCTTCAAGGTCATTTGTAATATAGAACTCACTGTGGATCAGTTTGATTAACTTTCAGCTTCATCCATTACAGGTGCAGCAGAGGCCTTTGGTAAAGCCAAGAAACTACTACAGCCTCAAGTAAAGAAAAGGCAGTTTCCACTGAATGATAAACGTTTGGACCATGGCAAATCATTATTGAAGGTTAGTTAAAAAGTGAAGCTACCTGTATGACTATCAGCAATATGTTAAAAAATAACTTTCTAAATTTGGCATATTTCTTAATAAATTTCCCTTTTTTTTCCTTGATGCTAGGTCAGACTGGCTCCCATGGAGTGGAAGCCAAGAACTCATAGAAAGTGTGGACGGTACCAGAAGTTAATAATGGACGAAGCTCCACCTCGAATCATTCTTCAAGGCCATGAAACCTATGATGATTTAATTACCATAGGCAAAGAACGCTTCTGGCCAGAGCGTACTGAGGGGAGTGAGTTCACTCTTTGCCATTCTGACGGGACCAGGTGGAGTAAGCAGGAGTTCCACAAAGAATACGGAACTGTTTCTGATATTACACATATGTGGAAAAGAACAATATACATCGGGCGACGACAACTGGGTAATAAAGTGTTCAATATTACTATTAACTACTGTCTAGCACTCAAATTTGTATGGTGTGAAATAATTTTACTTTTTGTACAGAAGTCGTGTGTTTGGATGATCAAAGTTCCATCTCAGGTGTGTGCCTGCCCAAACCAAATTGAATATTTTTGATGTTATGATTGAACATGGTACACTGGCCATGTTGGGCATTCAGATATATTGCAATTAATGTGTTATTTTACAGATGAAGACCCTGTAACTAAAGTGGGTGGTGATGAAAGTTGCAGTTTAGGTGAATGCCTGGACATCTAACTAAATCATTAAAAATGACTTCTTTTTTGGTTTGCATTACATTTCCAACCTTTACACACTTGTTTACTATGCTTGGTCATTGCACAGTTACTGTATATAATATGCATCTTATTCTGCAGATGAACTTCCTGAAACCCTCATAGGACAAAGTGTTGCAGAACAGGTAAAACCATGGCTTCATCTTGAACAGAACAATTAATTTCTTATCATTGTCATAAATGTGGATATTTTCACAGTGCACCCTGCAAAAAGTATATCTTGGCTGAATGTGTTCATAGGATTTCCATGCAGAAACATCCAGCTCAGCTGAATTTGAAACAGGGAGAGTCAGAAAGAAAAGCCAGTCCAAGCAAAGGAAGGAGGAAAATGTAGGGTCATCTCTAGGTCCAGGTGGAGCAGTGAGCCAAGACATGTTACCACATGCAGTTATTGAGTCAAAAGAAGCTATGGAGGGAGCTGAAGAGCTATCTGAAGGTGCTGGAAGTAGTGGGCTTTTGATAGATTTTGCACAGTCTTTCAACCCAACTCCAAAATCGCCATCATGTAAGCATTCTTTCCCATTTAGGGCTAACATCATATCATCAGACAAAATTGTAAATAAAGGTTTTCATTCTTCACTATTTGGTACTCAAGTTCCTGGAATAAACCTAGATATTAGTGATCCAGCAGTTAATAGAAGAATGATTAGCAGTAGCTGTATGTTAATGTATGTTACTTTGTGGGGGTTTTTTTTGTTTTTGTTTTTTTATCCCCAAGTGTATCTTCCACGTGTTCCATATGTGGAAGAGGCTTTAATTACATACAGTGAGGACAATCTACTGGGAGAAGGAACATTTGGCAAGGTATATAGAGGTTCTTTTCATGGTACTCCAGCAGCTGTTAAAAGGATCATGTGTGGCCAACAAGGGATGGAGGACAGCGACATTCATCATGAGATAAATGTTTCACTGTAAGAACTTTGACACACTTTTTTTTTTTCATTGTCAAAATCGATTCTTCCTCAAGCTGTAACATAATATGCCTCTATTTTGTTTTTTTTATTCGGACATGTTTCTGTTTTATTAGGAGACTGTCTCACCCCAACATCGTCAGACTCATGGCAGTTGCCCGCACTGAGTCCTGCTTTTTGTTGGCAGCTGAATACATTCATGGCGCAACCCTGCAGCAAGTGCTTCACACAGACAGCTGCTTGGTGAAGGTACCAATACTCATAATTTTATGTTTAATACATTTAGGTAGATGTGAATAATCTTAATACCCTCATATTAAAAAATAACTTTTTATTGCTGGCATTTGTTTAAATATGTACTTGAAACCATCTTTGTGTACAACATATAAAAAGACTGATTCCTTTTTTTCTCTCTCATATTTTCAACCATTTAGAATTACCAAAATGATCTGTAATTGTCAAATGCCAGAAAAGTATCAACTTAGTAAAAGAATAATCTTAAATTTTTAATAATAAGCTCCCTTACTGTTTTGGTAGAATTGCTTTTTTTTACTTGGATGAGGTTCAGACATTTTAGGTTTCCTTCTACAATATTCTTACAATATTTTTCAGGAATTTCTGTCCAGTCCTCCAGACAGGACTGGTGTAACTGAGTCAGATTTGTTGGCCACCTTGCTCACACACACCATTCACCTCTGCTTACAGTTTCGCAAGAGGACTGCAATCAGGGCTTTTTGATGGTCACTGCCAAACATTTACTTTGTTGGTCTTAGGTCCCATTGTAATTTATTGAAATTGAAATGGCAATTGCATTTGAATACTAATCCTATTTGAAGTAATACATTTCCAGTGGTAGACATGTTAGATTGTCACACCTGGCTACGCATTGTTTTATTAATATTATATATTGTCTTGATAGCTTGAAGGGGATGATGCCGGTTTCATATCACTGGACTTATCCATGGCAGTAGAGTACATCCATGCACAGAGAATCATTCACCAGGATATAAAGCCAGCAAATGTCATGGTAAGCCATACTGTATTTTTCTTTTTCTCCACTTTGTTTTTGAAGATCAAAATAAAAAGAGTATATTATTTATTTAACTTTATTCTCTTCAGTCTATTAAACACTACATTTGAACAATGAGAAACTTTTCTGGCATATTCATATAAAGGATTTTTTTTTTTAAAGTAAGAAGCCTTATATTGTTTCTTTAATAGTCCAATTTTTCTTAAATATGTTGGTTCTTGCACACCTACAAAATTCCCAAACCTGTTGTAAGTTTAGGCTTTACAAACTGAAAGTTTCTATTATTTTATTAGTCTGTACCACTTGCTTAAGTGGAATGGGAATTAAAAAATGCACAGGACTATAAAACCGGGTTGGATCATTAACCAATCTGTTAATTTTAATGTTGGGTATAATAAACAATCTCAGAATAAATCTGCAGTGATTGGGTGATCTGGGTGCTAAAAGCTTTGAGGGTTTTTTTTTTTCCCAATTATGAGCTGTGGTCTTTGGAATGACATTTTTGATAACATTTGTGAAATTTTAGACAACCTGGTAAGTTCTCATATGTATACCTTATAGGTTCACCACCCTTCTAAGAAGGCAGTCCTGACAGACTGGGGCATGGCAAACATAAGAGACACTGTGATGCTTCGTCAAGGGAGTAAGTTCACTGCCCAGGCTACTGGTCCAGCTGGTGGCACATATCTTTACATGGCCCCTGAATGCATACTGATGTTTGAAGAGGCCTCGTTCCAGACAGACATGTGGTCCCTCGGAGCCACATATCTGGAGATCCTGACGGGTTCCGCTCCGTGGATGGTTAAAAAACAAAGAGAACTGGCTGCACTAATGGCCACCAAAACCCCACCACATGCCCTATCACATCTCAGTGACAAAAACAGTTTTCTTGGTGATTTGGTGAGCTATGACCCAGACTCAAGGCCTTCCGCATCTGATGTTGTTAAGTTTCTCAAGTCAGGCCTTGATCTTACGAGCCGATATGGCTACAAGTGGTAATGTTGCTACAGTCTGCAGTTCAAAAGTCTTTCAATGTGAATTATGTTCTACATTATTGTTAACAAAAGTTGTGGTAAATGAAACACTGAATCATTATGAAAGATGGCACCTTGTCAATTGTATTTCAACATTTTATTGTACATTTTGTTGGTCAGACAGTTTTCAAATTACCTGTTGATTTTAAACAAGGATAAATAAATGTTAACAAACACTGTTGTATGATTTTATTGGTCATTGGAAATGTTTACTGGTGCACCTTCCATCCTCTCTCTCTTCAGAAAGATGTATATGTCATTTGCCTCGGCAAACGTAGAAGGTGTAGGAACTGCATTTCTGTTCATGGCAGTTGTGAGCTCTTGGACTAGCATGAGGTATGCAGCAAGGCAACCATCAGGTGTGCAGGGAAACTGGCTGTTTTCTAAAATGTTCTGGCACATGTCTCTGAATTCCTGGTTTGCTACCAGTGAAGGCTCTTCCCTCTCACAGATTAATTGCTTGGCATAGTCTAAAAGGTCTGGGTCAACTATGTGCAGCACATTGCCATATCCTGCGAATGAAAGACAATATTGAAAAGATGTTCACTTTGAATGTTAAAAATAAATGAATAATGACAAAGCTGTTCTAGAACCTGTATAAGAAGCAGTCAGTGTTTACAGATGTTATTACAGAAACTTAAAGATGGAAATATCACTCAAACATTTAGATAAATTTTTAGTTAAAGGTGTCAATATGAAGCCATTTTAGTATTGACAGTAGAAATTCAGAAATCTCTTATTGTACTACAAGTAGGCTTCTTCGGAAGACACAAAAGAGAAAGCACATTATAACAGTTTTACGCTCATTACACTGGCTTCCAGTATATTTTAGAAAATTCATTTTAAAATTTTAGTAATGACTTTCAATGCTCCGAATCGTGAAGCTCCTGCCTTAATTTCTGATCTTATAGAACCCCACGCTCCCTCTCCCAGCCTGTGATCATCTAATCAATGGCTGTTAGTAGTCCCACCAGAAGACCAGAGGCAATAGATCTTCCAAAGCGGTGGCTCCCAGGTCATGGAATGCTCTGCCTCCATCATTACGTTTCCTTGATTGTATTTATTCTGTATGTTCGATTGTGCTGTTTTATGTTTATCTGTTTTATATTATTGTGAAGCCACTTTGTGGTTTTTATCCTGTGAAGAGTGCTATATCAAAGTAAAAGTAAACTAATGAAAGTTAAAAAACAAATAAAAAAATAAAACCCCACAGGCTTTCAAATGACATACCAGGAGGTGGTGAGGTAAACAGAAGGTCTGGTTTCCCAAATGGACCAGGTGCATTGCGTTGCTTGCAGATGTCATGGGTGTTCCAAACTGTTTGCTCCGTTTTTAAGTCTCTTTGAAGCAGTGGCAAGTGTGAGTACTGCAAGCAGTTGCTATGAAAAAGGAGAATTAAAAAATTAATATGTTCATCGTCTTTGAGGTAGAATAAGTAAAAGCTAAATTTTAATCAGTACTCAAAAAACAAAGGCATTCCTAGACCACATACTTTCATACTGCTGCTTGATTATTTTTCATGTCTAAAAATATTGACTTACATGTGCACAGGATTGTCCAGTTCAAGAATCCCAGACTCCATCATGGCCTACGCATGTTGTTTTGAAAAAGACACAAGTTGTGAAGGTGAGAATTTCATTAGTGAAAAGGTACAGATGTACATAAACACAGATTCTGGCCTTGTGTTTTCAGATAAACTAATCCATCGTATGTTTAACGAAATTTGGATGGCTAGTCTTTGTTAATAGGTTTTACAGGTGAAAGATTTGCTTTACCTCAAATGTTGTCAGCCATTTCTTAATCCATGTCCGCTTTAAAATACTGTTGAAACATTCAGCTCTCTAAACAACAGAAACATGACATTATCAGTTTTGTTGTCAGGTTGTTACTTTAGAAATAGTCATTTACCAGCTTAAAAACAAACCTGGTTGTGCACTGATGTTCCCATTCTGAAGCACCTCCATGCCTGATTCCCAAGATCTCGCATGTGAAATGCCATCTGCATTTGACCCACAAGAAGGTTCTCCTTTCCTCTGTCCCCCCGAATCATTTGAGGACAGCCTAAAGACACAAACTGAAGATAATTAGTGAATGATGAAAAAATAAATTTATTAACAAAATGTAATCTTTTTTAACCCCCCATTTTTTAGTATATTGCATACCACCCTGTTCTTGAACAGCCTCAAAGAAGTATCTGGCCACAAAGTTTTGTTTGCGGTTGGATGTGCCCACCTTTAGCCATAGAACCTTCCTGGAAAATCTGAAAAGAAAGAAACAGAAAAGTGGCCACTTGTACATATGATTTAATCATGTTTTGGCACTATGTTTGGTTTTTGTTACATTCCCCAAGAGTATGCTGGTTTTCCATTGTATTATGTCTAGGCGTTGTTTCTGGTTCCTCCGGCCATTTTGACTGCCATAGTTGTGTAGGCTTACATGCCTTTGGAATTGAATGTGACTCTTGACTGTGTTCAGACTGACGCGAGGGGAGAGCTGCCTTTTGTTTTGTAATCCCTTGTATTCTCCTGTTTATGTGTT